AATATGTAGCTGCTTTCAGACATGCATTGAACTCTGCAGATCCTCCATATTTTCTCCAGAGAAGGTGCATGTGTAAATACAAATGTCAGAGTGTGAGACTCAAGATGCGCTGACTTTCTCCGCCTGGCCTCCAAGTAGAAAGTCCGTAGAAAGTCATGAGGATTCTATGAGATAATACAGTAGGGGATCTCCTGCAAGCGAGTCAGGGGAGTGTTGATGACTCTTCTAACCTAAGGAAGTCGCAAAAGTGAAAACAACTAAAAGAAACAAATATACCCAGGTGAAAAAGTGGTGGTACACACATAGAAGACAGAGAGGAAAATGTCAAGAGAGTTTGTGGTGATAAGGACTAAAGACCATGGAGTTGATACATCACTTCCTGCCTCTTTCTGCTGCAACTGGCTGCCCCCCTTCTAGACAGAGACAAAACAGAGCTGAGCCACCACCTGAAAGAGGTTTTATTGCACTCTTTATTTTTTCTTTATCATTTTTCTTTCTATGTTTTATTGAATTTATGTTTGATCTTTTGGATTGGAACAATAAAACTCTTGCAATCAGAATGTGGCTGTCACAAATACTTTAATCAATGCTCAGACTCCTCGAACCTTATTCGAACAATCAGTAACTCTGAAAAGTAAAGAAAATAATGCCCACAAAAATATTAATGGAGCTGTTTGCTGAATTTCTAGTGTGATGAAGAAATGCAGTTAACAGAAATGGAGGAGGTCAAGTTGAGGTCTGAAACACGAAAACTCTCTGAGAGGACTGCTAGCTGTATTGCTGGAAAGGCAAATCAAATGATTCTGGAGTTGGTTGTCCACTCTTCTACTATGCAGCCACAGTTGCATTAATATGACCTTCATGGAAGTGTCATCAGATAAAGAACTGTCCTTCCAACAAAGTTCAGCATCAGAAGTTTTCAAAGACACATCTAAACATGCCTGATGCATTTTACAATACTTAGCACTGCTGAAGTGAAAACTTTTTCGCTACTATTAACAAAAGTGTGATTGGAGAAAAAAGGTTACATTTTATTAAAGAACACCTCTCCAACTGTTGTGCATGGGGGTGGATCTATCATGCTTTTGGGTTTGTGTTGCAGCCAGTAGTACAGTAAAAATGCACATTAAACTGTTTTATTCCGTTTTTGTACCAGTTTTAATGGTGTGTTTGTACTGGAGAGGTGAGGAACTCTGTGGATAATTTGGCTCCCAGTAATAACCTCCTGTACGATGAACCCTGAAGGAATTCAAACCATAAATAAAACAGCAACAAGTTGTTTAACAATGAAGACAACAACTCATGTGAATTAATGAAATTAAATGTGTACAAACATTACAGAAATGTTGGAAGTTTGCAAATGTGAATGGAATGCAGTTTAGGTTACCATCTTCACTTCAAAATATAAAGAATGTGATGGTAGACAATTTAAGCTCACACACAGAAACACACACAATATCGAGAGGCAGTAGTTTGTATAATAGCGGTATTACATTCACAAACACAAGGTTGTTCAGCTGCAGAGTTGTGTTATTGAAGAGAGTGTGGGGAAGTTAATGGACAGGACCCTGGGGGTTGTGTTCCCCATCCGCTGCAACACGGAAGCTAGGTTTACTTATACTTTCCCCTCCTCCAGGCACCCAACAAGAAAAGGCTTAAATGGCATGGTTTTGTCATAGCTGAGAAAAACACTTCATGCTTGCACAGAGCAGGGGTCTCATTTATAACCATTGCGTACAAAAAAACAGGGCCCGAAAAACATGCGTACGCCACTTCTCGCGCAAACGTTGGGATTTATAAAAACCAGAATTTGTGCATTTCCACGCAAACTCTGACTCATGCGTACGAACATTTTGGAGATGGGAAAGTGACGATGCAGAATTGAGGAGGTGAACTGAGGCAGATTATTGATCCACTTCATCATTAATATTAAAACCAACAGCTTTAGTTGTGCTCGCGCGACATAACTGTTCCATAAGAATCGTCAATTGAAAAATATATTTAAAAAAACTTAAGCAAATTACGTTTGGATACCATTAAACAGCGTAGTTACAGAGCTGAGTCATTAATAGATTTTAATATTCATGAGGTGCTTTGCATTGACCATTTATAGTTGAATGTGGGCATGTAGAAGGCGGGATATGACGCAGCTACAAGTACGACCGTTTCCAGGTGGACTGTGATTTATAATGTGAACATTGTGTTCAGGTGTTTTTGCGGGTGTGAAAGGCAAACTGCGTCTTGACCCAATCAAATCATTGGTCAATATGCTCTCATCTGACCAAATTTTCATTGTTCAGACAATCGCCAATGTTACTCTCCTTAAGAGAAAAGCACTAAATCAATAACATTCCACAATGTATCCAGTATTTTCTTAGCAGGAAGGACTGACTTCCTGTGAAAACACAACTAACCCTAGTCACCTAACCCGATGGAGACTGTTAGTTGTAACTTATTTTATGTTTACTGATTGTTTACTAGGAGTCAAAGAAATTGATGGTGTGGCTGCATTTACTTGAAACCAATTACAAAAAGTTGGGTGTTCAGACTAGGAAAATTTGTGATGACCTATTTTTAGACATACCAGCAGCATGGCTGCAGGGATGTCAATCTTAGTTCATGGGTCAAATGTTAGCATGCTACAGAAAAACACTAAGCTGATGACAGTTACCCCTGCTAAATGTGTGCATGTTACCACTGGCATAATGTTAAAGCTCCAATATGCCTCAACAGATCTGTAAGTGAGATGGTTCAATGGCTTGAGAGACATTGGGACTTATTCACCAACCATTCTTAAGAAGAAATTTCTTCCTAAAACCCACTTTCACTGTTAAGTAATAAAGATTCTGACATTCATCATGCACCAATGATTTCTAGGTTCTAGGTTCTTTTTCATGTTTGGAAGGGAAGGGTATGGTGAGGGGTGTTCAGCTGCAACATGCAACTTCACCACTAGATGTCACTAAATTCTACACACTGTACCTTTAAAAAAAAATGACAGACAAGTTTCAGTGCATATTAATTATAATTCTTTTTAAAGCATACTAATGTGTAAGACACAAACACACAGAAAATACATATTACATAATAAATGTGTCACATGTTTCATAGTTTTACTGCTACAGCTTTTAGTTAAAATGTTCTGTCCAAGTGTAGCCTGTTAATACTGAAAACTGAGTTTATTTCTGTTCTGAGAAAAGAAATGGCTCAGGAGATGCAACCACACCACGCAATGCTCCCCGGCACTGAGCGGGTCCTGTCAAACTCAGGGCATGTATCAACAGGCCCTATTATGAGTTTTTACCTATACTAAAAAGGAAAAACTGGCAGGCACTTTCAGTTTACGAACAAATGGCATTCATCAAAACATGAACACAGATGCAAATAATTCTGCAGTTTAAGATCGTGTCATGAATCCCTCTTAGAAAACGTCTTAAGAACAAATTTAAGAAAATTCTGAAGAAGACAACGGAGAATGAGACCCATTTTCTGCACTGGGGGGTTGTGCCCATGTGTTTCTGCAACTTTCTACAATTGACAATCTGACCCTCACATGCACTTTGTGTAGTGTTTTATCAGCTGTGCACACATTAAACAAATAGAGCTGGGTTTGAACTCTCCTGTCTGATTCTCTTTTTCTCATTCTTTACATCACTACTTTTCACAAGTTCACTTGAGAGTGACACTATGAACACTTTCTCGATGGTTTCCAGAAGAAGCTGTGCGAAGATGTGTACTGTTATCTTCATTTTTTTTAGCATAATCTGACTCTTCATAAGCTAGGCATATTTTTAATAAGAAAAAGAAAAATCACTGAAGAAGGATTTCATTTGCCTATCTCAAGCAACGCCAACAAGATGCTGCCTTGGAAAAACAATGAAAAACACAGAGAGAGTATGCCTTTATCAGCATTTATCCCGAAGTGCCAGAGTATTAACATGGCTGTTAGATCTTAGTCTTGTTTAACTATTTGAAATATTTTCCCTTGTTTTCAACAGATCCGGCTGGGTGTGCAGTCTGATCGGCAGAAATTACCCTGTGAGAGACGAAGACGCTAAAGGTTTGCACAAAAAGCATTTGAATCAGATTTTTATCATTATTCTGTAATGTGGTCTTCAGAGAGTCATCCTGGATAGATTGATGGCCTTATTGTGTTTTTTCTGTGGATGCAGGAATCATTGGGGCAGTTAGGAGGGACACACTGCTCATTGGTTGGGTTGGTTCAAAGACTTTCTGTAAAATATGAAATGAAGGACATTCTGACATACGAAAGCATAAGAAGACTATACTGATTGAAAGTGAGACTTTATTCAGTTGCCCCAGATCACCATGTGGATCTGCTTAGGCCTGCTGAGTTTCAATTCCTGACCGTTTTTTAAAAGTGGGAGACCACAGACATAATAATATTAGTAATAGTACTTTTTTATACAGCACTTTTCAAGTGAGAGAGATACGAGATAAGACCTGATTTTTGAAAGGCTCCTTAGCCGATAAAACAGATTTAACAATGGTTGTTATTTGTTTGTCAAATGAAAGGCCATTGTCAAACATTACACCAAGGTTTCTGGCTGCAGGCTTGAAGTTTGATAACAGGGATCCAAGATGTCTCTGTATAATGGAAATTGACTTTGGTGGACCAAAGAGAATGATCTCTTTCATTGATTTTGAGAAGGTTTTGGGAGATCCAGAACTTTATTTCAAATGACAAGATAAAAAGTGAATGAAAATGCCCTCTTCAGTGGTTTTAATGGGACATAAATTTGCATGTCATCAGCATAACAGTGGTAAAGGAGTTTGTCTTTTTGTAATAATATGACCAAGTGGTAACATATATATCGATAACTTTAAAGGGCAGAGGACAGATCCTTGGGGAACACCACAGTTCAGAGGTGCCACAGACAGGGACACATTAGCAGTGTCTTATCTGATGAATATGATTTAAACCATTGTAAAGCAGTGCCTTGGATACCAACCCATTTTTCAAGGCAATTCAGTAGGATTGAGTGATCCAAAGTATCGAAGAAAGAGCTCAAATCCAGAAGGATTAAAACAGAACAAGTAAAAGGTAAAAGGCAGTATGTTCAAGGTAATTTGTCACATTAATGAGGGCAGATTCTGTGCTATGGCATGCATGGAAATCTGATTGAAATTTGATATTGTGGTTGTTCATTAAAGAAATAAATTAGAAGAAAACAGAATTTTTGCCATGTATCATAAAACTAAGTGATCAAGTGAATAGGGGGAGCACTTACAGTTCTCTCTGTGGATCACAGCCAGACCACCTCCACGGCCTGAAATCCTCAGCTGATGGAGATAATTAAAACCAGGAGGACATGCTTCATTCAGTGCAACACAGTCGTCTGGGCTAAACCAACTCTCTGTAAGCATAAAAATATCTTACTGTTCACATAAATGTAGTCATTACAGAAGAATGTATTGCCAGTGATGCAGAAATGCAAACACTGCTGAACTGTGTGATGAAGATGGAACTGGAGTTACTATGGAAGTACGGGGTGAAGCAGTGAGTTTGACAGGTATCAGATTATTAATTTTGTAAAAAGTGCCTTTGCCTGGTCACTGTGGAAATCCTTGAGGAGTGTCTAATGTCTGATACAGCCGCACCACGAGGGGAGCCTGTGATTCAAAGAGTTTCTGAGGTGTACTTTTTGGCAGCCAGAGTGAACTGTAATTCATGATGGGTGTTGCGGGCAGACGTGAGTGCAGCAGTCATTTGATATTGGGGTGCCGAGGCCATTGGGGTTAAGATCGTCCATCTGGAAAAATTATTGGTGGTTCCAGAAGAGATTAAAATTGTCAAAAGAAGCAATGTTGCGGACTCTACATGTCGACTGTAGCCAGGTATGGGAGCTAAGAGTGCGGCTAAAATGACCCACAGTTGAGTGGAGTAATGGGACCAGGGATAAAAATCTGCTTACCAAGGATCATGAGGGAGTCAATGAGCTTGCTGAAATCTCTCTTTAGCAGCTCTAAGGTCTGATTGGGAATGTCATTGCAGCTAACATGGATGATAATGTTCTGGGCCCATGGGTGCTTGGCTACAATGCTAGGAATCTGATCCATGATATCAGTCACTTTAGAGCCAGGAAAGCAAAAACAACGCTGCTTATTTCCTCCTGACATTACTTATTATTAAATCTCCAATAATGAGAGTGGAAACTGGAGGGTCAGTCTTTGGAGAAAATTGCAACGGTAGAGGAGCTTTGACACAGCGGGGGGAGGGAGCTCCTTGCAGCGCTGGTGTGAAGTGCAGGGTGGAGCAGAGCGTTCTGCTGAGTAGGGGGGTTCAGGTTTGGTTGAAGAAGGATCACAGATGACAGTCAACTGTGGCGCCCACGAATTGACGGGGGAGGAGGAGGTTGCTGAGATCTCACTGCCAGAGGAGGGAGGTCATGCAGGTTGAGAATATCATATTTATTCTCTTGCTGGATGCTATAGCTATAGTCTGCTATAGATGCTATAGTCTTGCCCCGAGCTGGACCCAGGATTCATCAGGGAGGGTGACCAGCAGTGGGACAGAGTGCTGGGCCTTCAGCTGTATGACCAGTAATGACAGATTTTACAGATTTTGAATCGTATAATCTTCAGAAAGCGTACACTTGATGATTTGGCCAGAACATCAGACCACACATTTGCCATTTGCAGGAAGCGATTTCACGGAGCTACTCTAGAGACTTTAAATCTCACAGAAACTTTTATAATCAGTTTCTGACGGACCCAAAGTGCAGAACACAACACAGCATATTGAAGGTAATAAAAACAAAAAGGTTTATTGCTCGATTGCTTGAGCTGGGGGGGTGGCAGGCAGTTGCGAACCGAAGGTGCTGGCAGACTGAGACCAGAGCAGATGAAGGTGAACTAAACAAGTGGACGCTGCGCAGCTGTTTCTGTGACAAAAAAGGGAGCACGGGGTAAATATGCAGTGAAAAGCATGGCACAAAAAGAACTCACTAGGAAATTGGAGTTCAATCACTCAGCCGAGATATGTGACCACACTGGTGAAGGGACGATCTGGCAAACACAGTTGGAAATGTATTGTTGTTTTTAGTCGCAGCTGTACAAGCACCCAACATCTGGTTGGTGACGCTTTCCGGTCAGCTCACTCTCCTGCTCTCTCCCTCTCTCTCTCACTATTGCAGGTTTCTGTGGGAGCTGTTTGGAGAGCCTCAATCGGTAGTATTAAGATTTTGTAAACCCCTCACTCTTCAGGATTATTTCAGCAGATAATCAACATAGATAGACCTCTAGTCTGAAATGCCCCTTGTTTGCTGGAAGGGGCAAATGAGGGCTAAAACTTGCCCAATTATCCTGTAGTGTGCAGCAGCCTTAAAGAGATAGAAAAATATAAATTCACTCATCCTCTACACACCACTATGCCGATGGAGGGAAGTCCAAAAAACACTTGGAGTTTCAGGGATAAACAGCATTACAGCCAAATCCAATAAAGTTGAAGTAACTATCGACCACTTCTTCAAACCTAAAAAAACAACAGAAAAAAAAATGAAAATGCCTCCATACTGCTCCTGTGGTGTCATCTTAGTGTCCTTAAGCCCCAACATCCAAATTTGACTCGAAAATGGGTCATTTATGTTGTGTTTTTAGCCTAAATAACCACTGATCACATTCGCACACACTGCACTCAAGCTCTCACCTAAGGATTTGCAACATGGTGCGCGGTAGCATCACTAACTCCAGTGGCAATGCTAGTTCCGGTAGCATTGCTGCTTCCACTGCAGTGCTACTTGCCAGGAAGACAACTGACATTTTTGGCTAAAAACACAGTGTAAATGACATTTTTGGTGAACTATCCCTTTAAGCTTTAAAGGCTTTGTTGTTTTTTTTCCTACAACTGTAAAGAAACACAATTCTCATGTCAAGAATTTTGA